GCCAAGGGGACTATGTAACCATGTCTCTTCTTATTTTTCCAATCCTTGGTGAAATAACGAGGCTCTGACTTCGCACAGCAATCTGTTTGTCCGAGAACCTAAGAGCCCCACAGATATTCCATTTAATTGTCTGAACACTGGAAGCATTTATTAAGTATCTGTCTTCATGGAGAACTGAACTTGGCCCTACACAAGCCGGACTCAAATCTCGTGATGGTGACGCAGAGCTGGCGGGAGCACAAGTGAAGTTAGGTAATTCATCCGACACACAGTGCGCTAAGCTGTAACCACTCCTGACACATGTGTAACTAGAGTGGGCCCAAGTTCATCCGGGGTCACCTTGTCTCGTAATGTCCTGATAAAATACCCAAACTTCCAGCTTACAGGTTGCTGATAAGTCTTCCAATAATTGAGTCCCCCTCCAAAATTTCTGAAGATTCTGCAAGAAGTGAGGGATGGAAGGGCATGCACTCTCACACCTGACCATCTATAATGGGCTGAACTGTGTCCTCCAAAAATGAGATATTCATATCCTAATCCCTGGTATCTGTGACTGTGACCTTACTGGGAAATAGGGTTTGTACAGATGATTCAAGTTACAATGAGGTCATTAGGACAGGCCCTAATCCAATATGACAGTGTCCTTAGAAGAGGAGGGAAATTTGGACACAGGGACACAGACACAAAGAGAGAGCGCCACGCGATGACACAGAGGGACACTGGAGTGACAGCTGCAAGCCAAGGAGCAGCAAGGATTGATGGCCACCACCAGAAGCTAACAAGAGGCAAGGAAGGATTCCCCTACAGGCTTCAAAGGCAACATGGCTCTGAGAACACCCTGATCTCAGACTTCTGGCCTCCAGAACCATGAGAGAACACATTTCCATTGTTGTAAGTCACCCCGCTGGGGGTGCCTTGTTATCGCAGCCCCAGGCAACACCACGCCCCCTCAGCCATGACTTTCTACTCCCACACACTACTCTAAAGGTAAATGAGGATCTGGTCTTCAGTTCTCCAGAACACTCCTAACCTAGGGCTGTCGTGAGCAACAGACTTTCAAATGAAGGTCTGGGCACAAAAGAGGGAAATTACTGCACAGAACCAGAAATAACATCCAACAAGACTGCCGCCAAAGCTCATCACCAGAGCATGGGTCTCTGACTGTCCCCTCACTGCAGGGCCAGCTCCTTCCCCAGTGCTTGTCTCCCCACCTGCCACAATTCCCAGCTGCAACTCCCATTCCTAGGATTTGCCCTTAAGCTCCAACTCATGTCATAGCAGAACTGCCCTAGACCCAAATGAGGCACCTGAGTTCCTTCTATGGAAAAGAGTTACTGGCCCTGGGTTTCAACGTCCCAGCAGGACTCTCCCCACAACCATGATCCCATCAAATAACCAAAAGGTTCCTTCACACATTTTCCTAAATCAACAGCCAAGGTGTCCTTCCCATAGGAACCCAGAGAAATGGTTTACAAATTGGATTAGAAGAACCCACTGCATCAGATTCACCTGTGGTGTTTGGTAAGAATGCAGATTCCTGGTCTCCATTCAGGCCAGTGAATTGCAACTGCTGTAGGGATGTTTAGGAACCTGCAATTTAAAAGGATCCTGGTGACCCGGGGCCACAGTTTAAAGCCACCAGCACAAGCTGCAGCTGAGCTTCACAAACCAGAACTGTCCTTCCTTCTACAGAAAATGGCATGAACACATAAACAGCGTGGGAAAACCTGGGGTGTCCCCGTGGGCAAAGTCAGGCTCCACTCCCTTTCCAAGTACCGTGACACTCACGCACCCTGGCTGCCAACCTTCCTTCCCCAACAAGACAGCTTTCCACTCATCCACCTGGCTTCTCTGCCATGGGCGTCATCCCACCAGCAACTCCCCTCTGCTGCTGAAACTGACCCTGAGGGCATCTCTCAGTGCAGACTCTGGGTGCTCCTGGTCAGAACAGCGGCCCCTGACAGATCACCTCTGACACCGGCCAGCCCACACATGTAGGTCCTGGACTCCCAGGTCCAGAGATACACCTCACCCTGGCCAGCCTCTGCCCCAGTATCTACTGAAACTTGGCAGGATCACCAGCATGCATTTCCTAGATTAACTTAAATGAGATGATTCCAACAGTGATTTGATCTTAGTAGGACCTGCCTCTCAAAGTCACTCCCATCCCTCTGCCGACACACCTGCACCAGCACGTGTGCTGGAATGTGCAGAGGGTGGCCTGCGGCAGCCACTCGCTTCTCTCTCTCCTCTTTCTTTCCCTCCCGCTCATCTACCCCAGGGAAGAAGTCATCCATTCATTCAACAATAGTCACTGCACTCCTACTTCGCTCTGGGTGACGGACATAAATAATTCACAGCTCTGTCACTGACAAAGCCACAGACCTCCGGAGAAGAGAGCAGTGGACCAATAATTATGGGATAACTCTGAATCACGTCCTGTTGGGAGCCCAGAGGAGGGAACCTTCCAACTCTGTACGACCCAGCCAAGAAGGACATCCCAAAGGTGATATGAACCTAGTCTTGACACCACCCCGGACAAGAAAAGAGAAAGGCTGAATCCTTTAAGGGTCTTTTGCTCACAAACTACAGAAACTGGCAAGACACCTGGAATGACTCAAGAGCTATCTGTCACAGGCATTACAACACTGACCTTACCTGCTGAAGGGAGTTATGCAAGCTTTCGGAGCCTGTTTCCTCATCTGCGATATGGACTCAGTAGTTTTTGAAACAAATATTGTATGTGAAGTCCTTAGCAACATGCATAATAAGCTGTGAAAAACTACACACAATTACTAAGGAAAAGGTGGGGGGACTTGACAAAGATCAGGCCCAGAGCAGAAGGAAGACTGAACATCAAGCCACAGCAGGGCTGAAGCCAGAGCAGCTGTCCGCAGGATGGCCTCAGACGGCTCTGCTCCAGACACCCGCACGGTGGACTTGGGCACCGCCTGCAACTCCCAGGACAGAGATTCTAACTGGCTAACCTGGGGCGGGGGCAGTCAACGTGACGGGGGACCGACGTTCAGCCATTCTACTTTGCAAGGACATGCCAGATAGGGGCCCCGACAGACCAATTCTGAAGGCAACCCAGAAGGCTCGGTATTGCTGGAGACTGGGGTCTGAGCAGAGGGGCAGAACGGAGAGGAGTGTGGATTTTATCCTTGTGAAGGGTGGTAAGACTGGAGCAACACTGGGTCTGTTCCTGGGACACGGATCTGGGATGGCTCCACACAAGGCACCCTCGGGCATTTAAGCCTCAAACGAGCCCACCTTATCCTCCCTTGGGGCCTGCCCCTGCAGGAGGACCCAGACCACCAGACACTCTGGTCTCCTCCAGCTATCTGCTGGGTGGCCTTCTGTGGCCCAGGGTGAGATCATCCCCTTGTGGGACACAGGCCACGTCTAAATGGCACTCTTTTCCAGCATGCACACAGCTCAACTGCATGGAGATTCTGGGATACAAGATGCAATTTTCAATCTACTTGGCCCCCAAATTCAGCAGAATTTGGATCTTTTTAAGTGTTTTAAAAACAATCTGTGCTAATGGCACAATGTTCTTGCTAATGCCCTTTAAGGGCCAAATTTTCAAAAATGGCAAATAAATTTGTTTGTCGTTTCCATGTGTAGTTTTATGGGTGGGTATAAATACTGAAGCTGAAATAACAAGCTGATTTTTCCTCACAAACATTTACACTTGGGATCAGATGAAGTGTACATTGGAAAGGTTATCACCCACATCTAAGGAGAAAGGGCAGGACCATTCTCAGCTAGGGGCACATGAGCCAGACAGAGTCAGAAAGGGGCTGTGAACGCAGAACAGAATGTTCTCCTTATGTCAGGCCTTAAGAGAAACGGGGCTGCGCTGTCTACACAGCACGCCACTGGAACGCCAGATGTGGCTTATTGCCTCACTCCAGCACCCTCTCCTCTCCTCTCCTGCCCCACCTCACCTATTACCCCAGATCAGCAACCCCCCCCAAGACCCAGCATGTCCCAGCTCTCTGACCCCACAGGTACCAACGCCAGCTACCTAAACTTGCTCCAGGAAAGTCTTGTTTGGGATCAGACTTCCCACCTCAGTGGACTCCCCCCCAGCCTCCTTCAGTCCTGGACTCAGGTTTGTTGCCTCCCTTAACCTCTGAGGTGCTCAGGAGTCAAGATGAGGCCTTCCCCACCAGCCCGAGCCCACTGGACTCCCACCCTGCCCCCATGCCAACCCCGCCAAGTAATTCAGGTAAGCAAGCAACTTCTGGGCCACCATATCCTGACTATTCCCGACTAGAAGAGTTCACATGAAAGACTCTAAAGCAAATGGTAAGATTCAAGACTGGGGTGTGGCTCTGTGTGCCTCCGCTCCCAGACACCTGCAGTAGATGAGGCTGTAACCAGGGCACACACCCTGGAACACACCAGGATGGTGGCACCAGAAGCTCGGAGCTGCCTGGCGCCTTTTCCAATCGGCTGGCCATGCCCACGCTGTGCCAGCTCCGGGTGTGGGGCCTCACTCACCCCGGCTGCAGCCACTTAAAAATGAGAAGAGTGAGATCTGCTCCGGGTGGCGCTACACAAGGGCGGGGGTGATGGGGGCTCTGGGCACATAAAGAAGCAAGAGAAATCACCCAAGGACTGGGCTGTGCTTCCTCCTCTCGGGGGGAGAGAAGGAGCAGCCCGGGGCTGGAGGAGAAAGCCAGCTCTGTCTGCGGCTGCCACACCCGGAGGGCCCACGGGGGTCAGGAAGGAGGAGGCGCTGAGGGCACTTTAGCAGGAGGTGAGGTGGCCACCAGCTCCCAGGCCGCGCCACCCACAGGAATGCGCCCTGAGGAAACCACGGGGCTCCTGGAAGACAAAGGGCCTCAGGTCTTCCCTGCCACAGGAGCCCACCCTCCCTCCAGCCTCACCCTGTCCTCAAACACTCCACAAGCCGAATGCTCAGCCTCAACAGCCCACCCGGTGAACGCGACCTGCCCACACACTCCTCCACCTCTGTCCCCACTCACCATTCCTGCACCCTGCCCATCCTTCTTTCCTCCACGGAACACGGCTCACACAGTAAATGCTTGCTAAAGAAAACACGTGTTTTATTTGTGAATCCCTTCTACGATCCCGGCATAGAACGTAAGCATGAAGGCAGAGGCTGTTACTTCATTCTCGAATCCCAACATTTATTCAGCGTCTGTTGCGATACTGAAGCTTTCCCAGGACTGCCAAAAAAACACAAAAAACACTTCCGCGAGGCTAATACCTGATTCGCAGATAAACTACATTTTAGTGTCACCCATACAAGCCCTAGCTTATTTGCGTGCCAGAGATTAGATTTTATTGGATGCCTACACTCAAGTCGGTCCACAAAGAATTACTCAACAGAGGAATGAATTAGTAGATATGTTTGGTTTGGAAGTTCCTGGCTTCACGACTTAGTTTCGGTTACCAGGAATTTTCCAGGACTTTTTCTCTAGCTTTAAAAACCACATCTCATCCCACCATTATTTTTTTTCTCTCTCCAGAGTTTCTACATTTAGCTTCAGGATTTATCAATGACATTTTCCCTAAGCAAAAGAAAGAGTCATCAGCCAACATTTTAGAAATGAAAAGTTGAAGCTTCTTCCTTTTCCGAAGCCGCTGCTGATTCCCGGAGAGCTCATAGGATCCCCACCAGCTTTTCTCGGGCAGTTTTGAGGGAAAGGGGGAACCTGGAACCACGCGACCTGCCCAGTCCGGGCACAGGCACCATCGTGCTCAGTGGACTCCTGCCAAGGGCCATTAATCACTTACAATCTAATTGTCCTAACCATGTGCAGACTGTGGACTGGCTTTTGGCAATGAGCTGCCCTCGTGAAGTCAGGTCCTCGCTTCCCGCGGGGCGTGCCACGGAGGAGCGAGCAGCGCCGCTCTTCCAAAGGGTGAGAGCGATGTGCTGGAGGGCACGTCGCTGCCAGCCACCAGTCCTGGCCAGAAGCAGTGCCGGGGCGCTGGCCCAGGGCAGAGGGGTGATGTCAAATGTTCCTGTCGCAAGCTGCCTTCTGACTAGACGGAGCTCTGGGGTCATGGGAGAGCGGCTTCCCTGCAGAGCTATGGCTCTGAACCCTGCTGCCCACTTATCTCCTTCAGGAAGCACTTCACTGGGTTTTGCCAGCAACATAAAGGGTCTTGCCCCACTAACTGGTGCTTACATAAAAAGAGTACACATTACTGAGTCTACCCCGAAGCTGGTCCCCACCTCTCCCCACTGTGAAGTTATTATGACCAGAGGAAATAGTTATTTTATAAACAAACACCCTGAAAACTACTCTGTAATAGGGGTGTGCATATTGGAATTGTAAAGAAAATAACTATCACTCCTTTGTTTTTAGGACACTGAATTTTGCAATTGAACTTCCTTTGCTACTGAAATAGTCAACCCAGCATCCAAAGATAATTTCATCCAAAGATAAAGTTTTTCATCCCCACATGAAATAAATTTCAACACCCAGAAAAGCTATGCACTTACATGACCAAGAAAATACACTCAAGATTATAAGCCTCCATGAGGCTGTTCCCTTGGCATAGCTGGCCCCCTTGCCCCCTCAATCCCCACATAGCCACGACCTGCAAAAGCTGACAGCCCACCCTGGTGGTCCCCACCCCAGGAAACGGAGTTTAGTGGGGAAGACAGATAAACCAGGGAAGTAAGTACATAAGTGCAGAAGTATCAGATGCTTTTACACACACAAATATCAATGTCAAGCCATTGTCACCAGATTCTCCCCATGCCACCCTGGGCTGTTCCTAAAGAATCTAACCCTGAAGACCTTGATCCTCTAGTTCCCATCTCAGGATCCTTTAAAAGCGAAACAACACACACACACACACACAAACCCACGGAGGAGAGTTCTTCGTTAAAATACCATGAATCACACACACCCGGAATGATGAAGTTAAAGAGAGCTCAGCAAACGCTGTGGGCTGTTTTCACGCATAGCATCTTTAATCGAAAAAATCCTACAAGCTAAACAAGCCACGAGGGCAGGCTTCTGTCCACAGACGTGGGGCGACCCCCACCCAAAGGTAAGGGGCCTAGTACCTACACGCAGAGTCCTCCTGGGAAAACCCAAGTGCTCCATTCCTTTTAATGAAGGGTCGCAAAATGTGAACCCGCAACCAGGGCTGGAGAGACCTGCCTCCGAGACAGGGGTCTGCACTCGCTTCTCCACTCCGGGGAGACCAAGCCTGCTTCCCTCGGTGACCCAGTCCCTCTTAGCGGTGACTGAGGGGTGTGGTGGCTTTGCCTCAGCCTCAGAGCTGGGAGGAAAACACAGATCACAATTTGGCTTCCGTAATTTTTACCAAATAATAGGACAGCCTGCCTCTTAGGGCCGAAGCTGCTGCAGAAAACAGCGGAGACAGTGGTGAGAACACGAGCTTTGGAGTGAATCTGGTTTCCGGTCCCGCTCCTGCGATCAACACCTCCTTGTGGCTTTCGCCTGGGGATGTCACCTTTCCGAACCTATGAAAATGACTGCAACAAGTGAGAAGTAAACAGCACGCCAAGTGCTCCATTATAAGGTGAGCGAGCACCCAAAGCAGACATACCGCTGTTAATGACATCCTGGAGGCTTGGCTACCTTCTATCCACGCTACCTTTGTCGCGATCACTTAAAAAGACTTGGTGGTTGGGCGCCTGGGTGGCTCAGTCGGTTGAGCGACTGCCTTCGGCTCAGGTCATGATCCTGGAGTCCCGGGATCGAGTCCCGCATCGGGCTCCCTGCTCGGCGGGGAGTCTGCTTCGTCCTCTGACCCTCCCCTCTCTTCATGCTCTCTCTCTCTATCTCTTTCTCTCTCTCAAATAAATAAATAAAATCTTTAAAAAAAAAAAACTATTGCATATTGGAAAGTTGCTAAAAAATTACATCTTAAAAGTTCTCATTGCGGGCGCCTGGGTGGCTCAGTCGGTTGAGCGACGGCCTTCGGCTCGGGTCGTGACCCCGGAGTCCCGGGATCGAGTCCCGCGTCGGGCTCCCTGCTCGGCGGGGAGTCCGCTTCTCCCTCTGACCCTCCCCCCTCTCACGTGCTCTCTCTCTCTGTCTCATTCTCTCTCTCTCTCAAATAAATAAATAAAATCTTTAAAAAAAAAAAAAGACCTGGTGGTTGAAACAACCTGGCGCGGGCCCCCGGGGGCACTTCCGCTGAGAGAAGAACGCGGGCTTCTGGCACCTCACGGACCAACGCCACGCTCGTGTCCACCTGGCCGGGCGCCGGGCCGCGGCCCACGGCTGTGGCCGCCGCCGCTCCGGAAGGTGCGAGTCCCCGGGCGGCTCTGGGGCCGGCCCCCAGGCAGGGTCTGCGGGTCCCCCGCGGGCGCAGGCAGCGAGCGCCAGCCCATCACGGGTCAGCTCTCCCGCGGGCTCACCGACCAAACGGTACGACAGTCAGCGGGCAGCGCGGGCCGGCGGGGAACGGGCGTGCCCCGTGACAGGCACCCCGCCGTCGGGCCAATCCTTCCGTGACCGCACCCCACCATCCTGTGTGTGCGAGGGCGGGCCAGGCTCCTCGCCCCGCACACTGCCAGGACATCAGTGTCACCAACCAGCCGGACTCTCAGGCCCTGTGCGTCCCGCAGGTGCAAGTCCGCGCCTTCCACCCACCTCTGCCGCTGCCTGGCAACCACCTTCCCACTGTTGCTGGGCGCCTCGGCTCCACTTCCCTCCAGTTCACAGAGGAACGATGCCGCCGGCCTCGACCTCCCGGGCCCGACTCGCTGCGCTCTGCACCACGTCCTCCAGGCGCGCGCACGTCGTCGCAGACGCCAGGACGGCCCCCGTCCCCGCGGCCGAACAGCCCCCCACCGCGGCACCTCCGCGCCGGTCGCCCGGGCCGCTTCCCCGGCTGCTTCCGGGCGCGGCCGCCGCCTGCACGCCCGTTCCCCTTCCCTCCCGGGGCGCACTCCAAGTGGCCCTGCGGGGTATGGGTGCGCCTACTTCCGATCCGCGGGGCAGCCTCCACCCTCTGGTCCGCAGCGGGCGCGCCGTTCCCAGCGACAGTGCGCGAGGCTGCCCTTCCGGTCCCCTCCCGAGGCGCCGGCCTCCTGTGGCCCGGGCGGTTCCGGGCCTCGCCCGAGGCACCGCCGATTCCGCCCTCCCGGCCCCTACGCGCCTCCCTGGCTGTAGCTGTCCCAGAGTCTGTGTTCTCAGGGCCGGGTCCCTTGTGGGGGTGTCCTCGTGGGTGCTGTCTCCGGGGTGAAAAAGGAAGCCGGGAGACCCCCGCCCGCGGCCCTGCACCTCCGCAGCCCGGGCCCAGGCGGCACCCCTACTCCCAGCTCTGCACCGACCCTTCTGCAAAGTCGGCCTCCCGTGAGCGCCCCAGTCGTGTAATTCCCAACTACGAGCACTCAACTCCCTGCAGGGCTTGAAAGGAGAACAGCTGGGCCGACCCCCCGCCGACTTTCAATTAGCCTCGGCGTTTGGCCAAGTCCCGCGCCTGTTTGGTCTCAGTGGAGGCCTGTCTCGTTGCTGTTGGAGGACTCCTACAGCATCTCGTTGGTCTTGGCTGAACCCGGTCTTGTGGGTCCTGGCGGAGGCTTGCATCTCGTTGGTCTTGGCTGAACCCGGTCTTGTGGGTCCTGGCGGAGGCTGGCATCTCGTTGGTGTTGGAGGACTCCTACAGCATCTCGTTGGTCTTGGCTGAACCCGGTCTTGTGGGTCCTGGCGGAGGCTTGCATCTCGTTGATCTTGGCTGAACCCGGTCTTGTGGGTCCTGGCGGAGGCTGGCATCTCGTTGGTGTTGGAGGACTCCTACAGCATCTCGTTGGTCTTGGCTGAACCCGGTCTTGTGGGTCCTGGCGGAGGCTTGCATCTCGTTGGTCTTGGCTGAACCCGGTCTTGTGGGTCCTGGCGGAGGCTGGCATCTCGTTGGTGTTGGAGGACTCCTACAGCATCTCGTTGGTCTTGGCTGAACCCGGTCTTGTGGGTCCTGGCAGAGGCTGGCATCTCGTTGGTGTTGGAGGACTCCTACAGCATCTGGTTGGTCTTGGCTGAACCCGGTCTTGTGGGTCCTGGCGGAGGCTGGCATCTCGTTGGTGTTGGAGGACTCCTACAGCATCTCGTTGGTCTTGGCTGAACCCGGTCTTGTGGGTCCTGGCGGAGGCTGGCATCTCGTTGGTGTTGGAGGACTCCTACAGCATCTCGTTGGTCTTGGCTGAACCCGGTCTTGTGGGTCCTGGCGGAGGCTTGCATCTCGTTGGTGTTGGAGGACTCCTACAGCATCTCGTTGGTCTTGGCTGAACCCGGTCTTGTGGGTCCTGGCGGAGGCTGGCATCT